TGAAGGCATCGCTACTGCAAAGTGCAAACATTCGCAAGTTGTCATCTTTCGTTCACTAAGCAAACCAACGACACAATATGTCAAAAGCTACTAGCTCTAAATCATCCCCATAGTTGAATCATCAAGAAAATGATTTGACTTGCGAAACTAATGAATTTCAATATGTTGAATCATATGGAGCAAAAGTGAAAACGATAAAACTGAGCAATTTACATACATTCCGTGAATTGCATTTCCTTCTTCTACTTTAAATCACTATGTAACCTAATTCGCTTAGAGTTCTAGTTCCGTAGCACAGAACTTTCCCAATCAATCATGATTACGATTTTTTGGAAGAAATCAAACAATAAATTACCTCGACGGACCAGGATCACTGGAATTCAGAGGAGCGTAAGCAGTGTGATTCGACCGAGTAAACGAGCCGCTAACCATTTCGATCACCGGACCACCGAAGGAATCAGAAGCCGATAAAGATAAAGGAGCACGAGCGCTCTTACACGCATCCCTGTGCTTCCTGTACACCGTCGTCCGATTCCTCGTCGCCATCAAGCCCAAATCAATCTCAAAAAATAATCGAATTCTCTACAGGAAAATGGAACTTTCTAAGACGAGATCGAATTTTCCGAGCTCAGATTTCACGAACTCGTAATGAATCTGAATCGCAAAACGCTGCTGCATTAGCGCGTGTTCTTCGTCGAGACACACTTAACGACGAAGCAGAATGGTTTGGGCTTTTAAAGCCCACTTAGATATTGGGTCTTTTTTATTCCAGTTGCTCTTTATCACCTTTGGGTCAAATAAAGTGTTTAGTGTGTGGAGCACACGTTTTTAAGACGATGATGAGTCGATGACGCACTTTAAAAGCTAAAGTCTGTCGAAAAGACGAAAAAGCCCTTTAATTTCCATGTTGACTGGAGGCGGCTAAAAGTCAGCAGAGAGAGTTTCAGAGCGTAAAAGAAAAAAGCTCACTGACCACGTAAGGGGTATTTCAGTCATTTGGAGTTTCTTAACTTTCTATCAACAGATTCGTGTCTGTGGATAGATTGATTCTCTCGCCGTAGAGAGAAAAAGCAAGCTCATTTAATTAAAGGTCTCGCCTTTAAGGAGTGTTTCGTCGCACTTTCTTGTAAAAAGAGAGAGAGGCTCAACAAAGTAGTGACAGGTACAAGCAAATAAATGCACGAGGACGAGGAGGAAGAAGAATATCATTTAATTAGAAAAGTGATCTGAGTCTGAGATTTTCCAATTCTTCTTTCTTTCTTGGATTCGGAATCAGATGGACGAAGATTTGTTGGACATTTGTGGGTTTGATTCTTCCAAGAAGCTTCGATTAGAACACAAGTTTCAGTCTGGTTAGTTTCGAAAAATCCCCTCTTTCTCCGATTGGATTTAGGCTTAGAATCTTGAATTTCGGGTTTACGCAGTCTTTCTTAATTTCTTTATCAAGTTTCATCTTTTGGCCATTAAGTTCTCTTGGGCGCTTGTTAATAATGGAGAAATGGCAAATCTTTAATAAATTTTGTCATTTTATGAATTTTCTTCTGTTGATAAAGTTTTGTGATTGGTATACTTTCTTTTTTTTTCAGGTTCCTGTATGGAGTTCGAGGATGGTGATGAGATGGCAGTGAATTATCCGTGCCCGTTTTGCTCAGATGATTATGATTTAGCTGAATTGTGTGACCATATCGACGAGGAGCATGCACTAGACGCTAACAATGGGGTAATTTCTTGGATCTTTCGACACTTTTTAAGGTTAAAGTACACACCTTTAGAGACTTAGAACCGGTTCAGAGACTCTGAGAATGAGATTAGCTTTGGTTTTGATGTAGATATGTCCGGTTTGTAGCAGACGGGTGAAGAATGATATGGTTGATCACATTACCTCGCAGCATCAAGATCTCTTCAAGATATCCTTTTTCCAACTTACTTTTTAACCATAGACATGACCTTATCATCTTGCATTTGGTTCCTTGACGAAAACTTACGTTGAACAGAAGCAGAGCCTTCACAAGAATGAGTTAGATTCAGGATTTTCTCCAAGGACAAAGAAGTACTTGGAGTCTTTGATAGATGATGAGCCACGGTTTACAAATCGTTCATCTAAAACTGTTCCTGACTCATTGTTATCATTCATCTACAATCCACCATCACCAAATCTTCCCAAGCTTGTACTGCCTAATTTATCAACTGGAGCAAGCGTGGAAGACAAGAGCTCTATTAGGGATTCAGCAGAAAAGTAAGCAACTTTTTGACATTATCTCTGTTCTGCGTTCCTTGTCTCCGCCTTCCATTACCTCGTCTAAAGATACATTTTGCTTTTGACAGGAAACTGTTGTCTCCATTGTCAGATACTGAGCTACGAGAGAAGGCGAAGAAGACAGAGTTTGTACAAGGTTTAGTCTCATCAACCATGTTTAATCACATCGAAGACTTCTGAGATAAGAATACGAAACAAGATGTGATACATTGTTTGAATCTTTATAGCTCTTAGTCAAGTATTCATAAATGAAACTCTGGCAAAGTGCCCACTAGAGTAGTCTATATAATATACGTCAAATGAGCTTCTGTTCAACTTTCAAACTTCTACATTGCTTACTTGAGGCCGGAGTTTCCTTAACAACCACTTCTTGCGTAGTTTCACATCTAAAGCCAAGAAAGTTTTCGCCTTTATTTCATCTTCAAGCAGATCACAAGCATCTAATATAAGCTCCTCGTCCATGTCTGGTAACGCTTGAATAGCTTCAACTGCGTCCTCTATTGCTATGGTTTTAGTTTCGGTTTCATCAACTCGAGGCTTCTTTGAGTTTATAGGGTTTGTATCAGTAGTATCAAGTTGTTGGTGATCTCTTTTGTTCTTGGGGTCAAACAAAAGAGAATTGCTATCTTCTTCCTCAGCTGAAACAGGCAAATCTGTTGTTTCACTGGACTTGAACTCTTGGAACTCTGTTTCTGGGTCAAACCAGTCCATAGCTTCGAAGCAGTCATTTTCCTCAATCTCGGAATCGCCACAGAGCACACACAAATCTTTGTAGTACGGAATTGGCCGAGTCATGAATTGCCTTGCATCTCTATGTGCCTGTAATGATTTCAAACAAGAACACTTAAAAAGAGACCTCTAAGCATTTAACGTTAACACTGAGCAGCAATCAGTTACCTTTATATAGTCTTGCCAGACATTATCATCAGCTGTTACCATTTGACGCTCATCATCCCAAGCAAACCCATCTGATCGAAGAAGCCTCTTGATTGCGTTAAACTGTCTTCTCAGAGTCTTGTACCGATTCTTCAAGACATCAACGTTAAAATTAGACTCGAATTTCGCGTTGAAGAGAGTAACCATCTCAGTCCATGATTGTTTCCTGAAAACACCGTCAATCTGGTTTCCGCTTCTCGCTTGGTCCAACATCAGACCGATGAAAAACCGGTCCATTGGAGGATGCCAAGTAGTCCTGCTCCGTGTTATGCTGCTTCCTTTTGATTCACATGCTCTGTTGTAACCTTCATCTTCCTCAATCTGAGTGTTTGTTTCTCCCTCAGTAACATTCTCCTGAGCTGAAACACATTGATCATAGGCTAAGAATCTTCACAAAATTCTGTGAATATTAGATTGAATAGACTTAAAGATTGTACCTTTCAGCTCAGACAATCCATCAGTGTAAATCAAACACAGATCTTTGTAAAAAGGTATCGACTTTATCCGTAAAGATTTTGAATTAGGATGACCCTTCAAGATATTGAAACAAAGCCTTGTCAAAAGTTTATTCTAAAACGAAGAAGAAGAAGAGCAACACACACAAAACGCTAAACGCAAAAACGCACCTTTAGATACTGATCCCAAACGCTATTATCAGCAACCACCATCTGTTTGGTTTCATCCCAGCTAAAACCATCTTCTCTCAAAAGATTCTTGACGGATTTAAACAAGTTCCTCAACGTCTTGTGCCGGTTTTTCAAAACGTCTTTGCCGTAAGGAAACTTGAATTTCGCGGTGAAGGAAGAAGACATGAGCTTCCAAGCGCGTTTGCTGAACAAATGATCGTCGAATCTGTTTCCTTTCTTCACCTGCTCCAACATTAGCTCGATGAAATACTGATCCATTTCAGGCGTCCACACCGTTCTCAATCTCTCATTGCCGTTTCTACTAAGCGTGCTCATTGTATCTCCTCCTTCTCTTACCTGCAAATTCGATTGCACGTAACCAAAAATTGAAACTTCAGAAATCAAATACACATCAGAAGCAGGATCAGAAATTCAAAGTACCTCAAATCGATTTTTCAATTAAATTAGGAAAGGAGTAGAGATCGTCGCTTACAGAGAAACGCCGGCGGAGACAGAGAGAGGTCGGTGAGCGGGAATTGGAGTTCCGGTGAGCTTTTAGGGATAAGGTTGTCCGGGATAAGGATTATTCTCTTCGTGGCTAAGGTTATATTTTTATCCGCAACCAATGAAGAAGAAACCGTTAATGGGCTTATGTTACTTGATTGGGCTTTAATTATCACGGGCCTAATTGTTAAGACGTCGTTTAGTCTAGGGTTTCTGTTTGGCGGGACGTTGTTTTTGCTTACGGAGAGAATCAGGGAGTGTTGTCAAGTTCGTCGTCGTCTTCGTTAATGATGTCCATGGAATTTGACTGTTTAAATTGATAGAAGAAGAAGAATCAGAGGAAAATCTTCATCTCCGATTGTTGTTGTTACTTGTAAGTTTCTTTCGGATTTTTCTCGTTGTGAAAATAGTGAGCTGATTATTAATTCTGGGTTTGTAATTCGCTGCGAATTGAGCTGTTCAATCGTGAGAATCAGTGAGTTTTTGGTAACATAGTCACTCGAATTTGGTGAAACACCCTTGATCAAATGTGAACTTGGCATTGGTTTTTTATTTCGTTTTCAAAATGATTTTTGAGAGGTTTATGCAGCAAAGAGTAAAAATTCAAGTCTCTTGCTTTGTTCATTCGCAGCTATCATTTGCATCAATTCAACTCAGAAATTCAAAAATCTGTGGTGATGAGTAGCTTCAACGGAGACGTTTTCAAAGGCCTCCGAATAACTCAGCTCGATGATAGTGATGATGACAATGTCGAAGCTCCAATGGACCCGATTAATGTCGACGAACAGTTCGATGATGATGACGAGGAAGACGATGAAGATTCTGAGCCTGTGATATTGGGTTTCGTCGAGAGTCCCAAATTCGAATGGTCAAGTCTCCGTCAACTCTTCCCTAATTTAGCCGGCGGTGTTCCGGTACTACATTATAAACAACATTTCAGTACTTGCAATCAAATTCTTCTTCTTTATCTTCTTAGATTTTGATTTGTGATGTAGGCGTGGTTGGATCCAGTTAATTTACCAACAGGGAAGTCAATTCTATGTGACTTATGTGAAGAGCCTCTACAATTTGTACTCCAGGTGAGTTTCTATACAAAACTAATTTGATATTCGTCGCATTTGTTTTTTTGGTTGGTTTATTTACTGGACGGAGGAAAATTTCGCAGCTTTATGCTCCGTTAACGGATAAGGAATCAACTTTTCACCGGACATTGTTCCTCTTCATGTGTCCGTCAATGTCTTGCCTCCTTCGTGATCAACATGAGCAATGGAAACGTGCTCCTGAGAAGGTTATGCGGAGGTAGAATTACATATCGCATCTTTGTGTTTGTCTCTCTTCTCTCCATCTGAATTGTTACACTAAATTTTTCTTTCTGTCTCTGAAGTGTGAAGGTCTTTCGTTGCCAATTGCCTCGTGTTAATCCATTTTACTCGAGCGAAGCTCCGAAACACGATGGAACAGACAAGCCCTTGGGACATGGAGGTATTGACTAATGGTCTTGGCTCAGTTCCGGAGAGTTCTCTTTCATTTTTCGATTCTTGATTTTGATTTTTTTCTATTTAGCTCCGCTTTGCTCTTGGTGTGGAACATGGAAAGGAGATAAAGTATGTAGCGGCTGCAAAAACGCTCGATATTGTTCTCAGAAACACCAGGTCTCTGTGTGTGTGTGTGTATGGTTTAGTCTCATTTTTTTACTGTTC